TCCATTTTTTCTATTTTTCATAGCTGAACACTGAGTGAGGCTGTTGAACAAGAGAGACTACAAGGGCAAAATGTACTCAAATATGGCTTATTAGCCTAGTTCATGAAATTAGCACGTAATAAAACAAAAATATTTCAGAAGTAACTAGATATGTGTTAAAAATGCTTCTTTTAATTGTCTCTGGGTAACTATTAAATATTATAAATAAATTAGCAAAACCTAAATATAACAACAAAATTCAATGGTCCTATTTTAGAACAGGTTTGTTTTTGTTTTTGAGAGCACACCTTCTATTTTGTTGTTGTTCTCGCTTTTGTCTTCTCTGCCTTCCCTCCCCACCCCCCCTTTTTTTTTGAGAGAGAGAGCATGCAGAAATGGAGGGGGGATGGGGTGGGGGTAGAGGGAGAGAGAGAATCTTAAGCAGACTCTACCCCCAGCTCAGAGTCCAAATGGGGCTCAATCTCAAGACCCTGAGATCATGATCTGAGCCAACGTCAGGAGTCAGATGCTGAACCAAATGAGCCACCCAGGTGCCCTTTCTCTATTTTAATATATATCACCCAAGATTCTGTATTTAGCCCTGTTCTTTTTTTTTTAATAACTCCATACTACTTCCTTATAAGCTTTCATCATGCCCAGCCTACTAAACATCTCCAACAGGATATTGTAATATATCCCAAATGTGTCTAGAAACATTTGAACATTTCCTTCAAACCAACCAGTGTTCTGATTTCATTTTGTCTGTTTAGGACATTACCATTCTCTAAGTTATTTGGGGATGAGACTTTAGAATTTTTTTTTAAATCTTTTTCCTTGCTTCCTCAACCTTCTTAGGCCTCCACTAGAGATCAACCAGTTCATTCGTGCAAAGTCGTTCAGTTCTAAGTGGCCCTGGACATCACCCGGGGGGTACTTTGTTTTATCCTTCTCTGTAGGGTACCTGTCAAAACACCTACGAAAATGGGGGCATCTGGGTGGCTCAGTCAGTTAAGCGGCTGACTTTTGATTTCAGCTCAGGTCATGATCTCAAGAATCACAGGATTCAGCCCAACACTGGGCTCTGTGCTAGGTGTAGAATCTACTTAAAATTCTCTCCCTCTGTCCCTCCTCTCTTTCTCTTTCCCTCACTCTCTCTCTGTCCCTCTCCTGCCCTCCCTCTCTCCCGCTCAGAAAAAGAAAAAAAAAGCCTATGAATTTGCTTTAAAGTAGGTTATGGTTTCTAAAGAAAAGGTTGGCTCTAGGTCCAGAGAAGCTTGCAATTCACCATTTCCAGGAAACCCAAATATGCAGAGACTGGATCACACCCTAATTGAATAAAAAATTAACATATCTAGTGTACACAATGCTATATTTAAAGGTTGTGCTTATTTATCTTTGTATTACAGGTATTGAAAAAAGCAGAAAAGAACTGTATTAAATTACTTTCACCACAGTAACTATATATTATGCTTATCAGTGACTATATACTAAATTGCATTTCTTAAAGATTTTAATTTCTGAATCAATGGTCAATGGTTATGCTCTCTATTGCTCCGTCATATCTTCATTGTGGCCCGTAACACATTTATAATATATATTTTCTTTTCTGTCTCCCAGATCAAGAATGTCCTATACAGGCATATACCGTATCCATTTTTGTATTCCCAACAATGCCTAATATAAAATGTGTTACATGAATTAAGCTAATATAGTCTATTAGTCAATAAAGTCATGGTGACTTTTCTATTATTAAGAATAAAAAAAAGATGTTTGTTCAACTGTGTTTAAAAAGAACTGAAATGTAAGAGGATTTAGTTTCAAATAATAATTGAAATAGTGTTAAGACTCCCTTTTTATAAATATATAAACTGTAATCTGGTTACTTTTCATCTAGGTCTTAAAACTTCAAATATTTGAGAATTGTCTTTTTCCTCCTCCTAGTGCTGCCAATTTGTTCTTTTCTCAGGAATTTATCACATCTTATTCATTGCTCCAGTTCAAAAGAAAAGTATGTATATTTAAAAATAATTCTTAATATCCAAACATGCTATAATTGTTAGATGAATTAGACTAAAGGAGAAACTAGGTGAGGCTTTTGATGTTTTCTTCATGTTTATCTTAACAGAAAAAAAAGGGAGGGATGTAGAAGATTGCCAGAAAAAAAATTTCACTTGCTGATTAAAGACATCATTCAAAATACACCCATACAAAAATGTATTTTTTTTAAATCTGATTTTGCCACAGGACCAGTTAAAAGCAAGGTTTGGGGACTTAAAATAGTGATATCTGATTCAAACATAAGTTATTTATATTTTTATGATGTACATTTCTACATATTGTTCCCTCCTCCCCCCTCCCCCCAAACTTGAGTCAAGTCTGGTGTAAATACAAATTTGTTGGGAAGGGATTTTTAAAAAATTGGAAATCAGCAATCTGCCAAACCTGGTTTAGTGTAGCACGGAATAGGGAAAGTGAATGTGAAATGGAAGGAAATAGACCCAACTCTGCAAATGAGAGCAGGAGAGAGCCAGGAAGAGCAATCTCCCTCAGCCTCTCAAGAAAGACACAGGCCGCCCCCCGCCCCCCTCCACTTCTGGAATGAGACTTGAGCCAACTGTGCTTGTCTCTCCGATGATAGGCACTTTGGTGAACACATGCATTACACAGATTTGCAAGTTAAAAAAAATTCAGGAAAATGTTCTAAAATTGTAACCTTAAACAGGAATGTTGGTATTATATGAAGTTTGGTAGAGAGATTCAGAGCTATAATCATATGATGAAACTGACAAAGGACTATCTCTATGGGGCTTGGAGATAAAGAGGAGTTGGCTCCTCCTACAGGACCTGGTAAGTCCACTTGAGAGCAAAGTCATTCATTCCGACCATCTTGGTTAGGTTCCTTTATTTTATTAGAGAATTTCAACCGTCTGTTGTTTGCTTGAGTTGGTTGACTTCAAATGTCAATGTATTTGCTTTAATCACTGTCCTGTAGGAACCGTGCCAGAGTATATGACCTCATATATTTTACTATCTCCAACTCTTACCCAAATCATTTTTTTCTTTTTGTTTTTTCTATTTTTTTTACTTTTTTTTCCAACACTTAACAAAATCAAAGTTACAAAAAAGTAACATTCCCTGCAGATTATATCCTAAAAATATATATAAATGTATTCATCTCTATAATTTTCCTAGATTTTAATCCTAGGTACCAAAAAAAAATCAATGGTTTTGGTTTTGGAACAAAACAAAAAAAATCATTCTTAAAGCTGGAAAAATATTTGGACAATGTTTTTGTGTTTTGTATGTAGCATGTGTGGTCTCTTTTATTTCAATAAGCCCCTCTACTCCTATAAAATTGCTTTTACTAAATTGAACTTTGTTGTGATGTCCTCTACTTATTATTGGTTTTATAGATGAGATACATAGAGCAAGTTGCCCCTTAGGTCACTCTGTTAGCCTTTCATAAGCCCCATGGGAGAAAATTTCCTCAGATCTTCAGTGAAAGAAAGAGTTTTGCCTCTCCTTATCAAATCACATTCTTATTTTATAGAACATGAAAGTCTCACGAGTACCTGCCCAAAGAAATGTAATTGCACTTACTAATTTATTTTATTTAAGCTTTTGAAAATCTCTTCCTACATGAATATAAAATAAAACACTGTAAAAGACCCACCGTTAAAGTGGATGCTTTTCATTAAAAATATATATTCACTATGTTTCCATAGACGTGAACTATACTACGGCCTCTATAGTTTTCCACCTTCTTGAAAGAATCAGCTCTCCTGGAAGGTGCCAGAGGAGTTAACAAGGAAGCATGGTTCCACTTAGTAACAGGGTCTCCTAGTTTTAACGCCACTTCAGCTCATTGTCTATAGGCCTAATGTTATCAGGTGGTTGCCTTTGGCCAACTTGGGTCCTCGGTCTTGATCAACGACACCTAGCCTGCAACTTTCTAACATCATCACATGCCTGTGCTTTGTCTGGCACCCCTCTCTGCCCTGTGTCATCTTACACCAAACTGCACCATCAACTACACCAGCTGTCTCTGTACTGATCCATCTGGCAAACAGAAAGAAATGGGCTAAAAAGGAAACAAGACTTACAAATGTATGAGGAAAAAAAACTAATCCTGAAATTCAGTTTGATTATATCTTAACTAGATATGTTCTAGAAATCTAAATTGCATATTTGTATTCATGAATTTTATTTAGCATGTAAAATATAAATGCCATTTAGAAATTTCAGATATGCTAAATTCATTCAGAGATAATATTTTAGTACATATATTCTCCCCCTTCTGGATATTAACCTCTAGAAAAATCTACCCTTAAAGAGATAAATTGTTATCCTCAAGCCACCCAGTACATATACACACTTGCCATCAGTACATACATGGAAAAAAAATAATTCTAATATAAAATCAAGAGACATGAATCGAAAAATAAATATGCTTTAAAAAATAATTCAACTGAACTAAATTGCTTAAGAACTGTGTTATTTCAAATTATTAAAGCTTCTTTGTGGAAGTGGTCTTTCAAAAGTGTTAGTGCCCAATTCATTCTAGGAGACTAGCATTACCCTGACACCAAAAGCCAGATAAAAGATACAAGGAAAAAAAGAGAGAGATAAAATTACACACAAATATCTCTTATGAATATTAATATATAAACTCTCAACAGAATACCAGCAAACCAAGTTCAATAACATATTAAAAAGATTATATATCATGATCAAGTGGGATTTATTTCTGGAATGCAAGGATGGCTCCACATACCAAAATCAACGTAATACACCACATCAACAGAATGAAGAAAAAATATGATTATCGCAATTGATGTGGAAAAAGCACATAACAAAAATCAACAACTTGCATGATAAAAACACTCACCAAACTGGGAATAAAAACAGTCTTCACATACTCAAGGACTGCTCTACTCATAAATACAGTATCATGTTCAGATTAATAACCTACAGCAAGTAAACCAGACTCATTAAAAAGTCCAATGAGGAGAAGTACTTACCTGCCAAAATTTTCTTGAACTGCTTAAACCATACATCACAGTGGTCTTCACTTAAATTAATAAGATCAAGCGTAGAATCTTTTAATTTATTTTGTTCCTTTTTCAAACAAATGAAGAGTGTGATACCCAATAAAGTACCATTTCCCTGTTGCTTAGCAGAATAACGTCGTTTCAGTTTGACAGAGAATATGTCCTTGACTTCAATAAATTCTTCTTTACATTGAACATCACATTTGGAGTCACCTGAAAAAAAAATTAAATTTTCTGATCAAAACCATTGTGTCCAGATCTTCTATGCATGAATTACAAAAAGTGAAACCCCACAAAATCTTTATCATGTTTCACTTCATTGATTGTGCTTTATAGATCACTCCCTGTGTGAGTTGGGGAGGGAAGAAAAATTGGGTCTATTTTCTGAAGAATGAAAAGAGAGAAAGAGGTGCCTGGGTGGCTCAGATGGTTAAGCATCTACCTTTGGCTCAGGTCATGATCTCAGGGTCCTGGGATCACGCCCTGTGTCAGGCTCCCTGTTCAATGGGGAGTCTGCTTCTCTCTCGTTCTGCCATTCTCTCTCTCTCTCTCTCTCTCTCTCTCTCAAAACAAATAAAATAAAATAAGGAAAAGAGAGGAAAAATGGCATTGAGTCCCTGTCACACAAGGCCTAGGACATTCAAAAACTGAAGATATTCAATAGGAGAATTTCAAGAACTTAAAGCAACATTTCAATAACAGTAAATTAGCATTATGCAAGAGGCTCCTCAGCCCTAATCGGGACAGAATAAAATAATGGGAAGAATAGAATTCATTAACAGAAGTGAGTTTATAACAAGTATTAAAGGTGAGGCGTACGGAAAAAGAGTACATACATTCCAGGTAAAGCAAAACATGTACAAAGGAAGCGGGGTGAGATCACTGTGCGAATCCCTGCCCATCTAGAAAGAACCATCCACCTGAGTCTTACCACAGGCAGACTTTATTTCACAGTGGCATGAAAGTGTACTGGCTATGTCAACCACAGGTCAGAAAATAGGTTTTGTGGTAAAAAACCATTTCAACTGACTCTCAAAGTAGCAGTGTTTAAACTTTTAAAAAGTACTTCTAAAATTCCCACCCTGGCCAACACAGAATCACAGGGACTGGTTTACCTTCGCCTGAAATAACTAAAAAGGTACGTGAGATACACGAAACATCCATTTTCAGGGGGCCCTGGGTGGCTCAGTGGGTTAAGCTCTGCATTCGGCTCAGGTCATGATCCCAGGCTCCTGGGATCGAGCCCCATGTTGGGCTCCCAGCTCAGTGGGGAGCCTGCTTCTCCCTCTCCCTCTCCCTCTGCCCCTCCTGTTCCACTCATGCTCTCTCTCTCTCAAATAAATGAAAGAAAAAGAAAGAAAAAAAGAAAAGAAAAGAGAAAGAAAGAAAGAAAGAAAGAAAGAAAGAAAGAAAGAAAAGAAAGAAAAGAAAAGAAAAGAAAAGAAAAGAAAAGAAAAGAAAAGAAAAGAAAAGAAAAGAAAAGAAAAGAAAAGAAAAGAAAAAGAAAAAGAAAAAGAAAAAGAAAAAGAAAAAGAAAAAGAAAAAGAAAAAGAAAAAGAAAAAGAAAAAGAAAAAGAAAAAGAAAGAACATCAGTTTTCAGACACTGGGCCATCAGGTAGCCCAGGACAGTGGTCCTGAAAGAGGGGAAACAAAGGAAGCACAGGAGCGCCCCAGGCTACTGCCTGGAGAGGGTTTCCAGGCCACAGTGAGCCCGGTTGTCTCCGTGGGTGAAGCAGGAATGAAGAGCACTTGAAAGCCCCAAGGACTCTGTCCACCAGGCAAATGGCTGGGGAGGGGAAAGCTGCGGGCAGGTGAGCTTTCTGCAGAGGCCCCCGCGAACCTTCAGCTGAGTATAAATGGCATATGTGCGAGACCAGGGGAAGAGAGCTACCCAAAGGGTTAGAGAAAACGATGCTCAGAGATCACACAGGCGCTGCCACCAGCCAAAGTGGAAAAACAGTGCAATTTGGGAGACACTGAGGACGGTCCTTGGAAGAGAACGGTCTCCTTCGTGAGCTAACTAAAGGTCGCTCTGATTCGAATCACCCAACAAAACTTAAAAGCAAACCTCAAAAGGATTAAACTGTTTCCGAGTAACAACTACAACCTACGATAAAGCTCAAGACTATAGGGATACAAAAATAGTCACCAACCTTACACATCAAAACTCACAATCTCTCTCATTCAATCAGAAATCACAATGTGGGGCTCCTGGGTGGCTCAGCCCATTATGTGTCCGCCTTTGGCTCAGACCACATCGCGGGGTCCTGGGATCCAGCCCCACATTGGGCTCCCCGCTCAGGGGGGAGCCTGCTTCTCCCTCTGCCTTGGGCCCAGCCTCCCCTCCCCCACCACCCCACCCACTCATGTGGGCACGTGCACACTGCCTCTAATAAATAAATTATTTAAAAATAAAGAATGCACCAGGTGCCTGGGGCACCTGGGGGGCTTAGTCTGTTGAGCATCCAGCTATTTTGGCTCAGGTCATGATCTCATGGGTCAGGGTCTGTGCTCAGCAGGGAGTCTGCTTGCCCATTCTCTCTCCCTCTGCCCCTCCTCCCACCGCACTCACACCCTCTCTCACATAAATCTCTCTTTAAAAATCACAATGCATATTTAAAAAGCAGGGAAAAACATGACCCATGATAAGAGGAAAAAAGTCAATAGAAGCAGATGCAGAGATAACAGCAGCGCACAGCAGCCGCACAGGCCCTCTCGCTCCCTTGGCCCTTCCACAGGCGTGGCATTCCCCAGTCAAGCAAGGGCTCTCAGGTGCAGTAGGAAGCTGCTTCCCTGCATTCTGAGTGGGCCTCTCCCAACCATTCTGCAAACTACGCCCGATTGTTCATAAAGCACACATACCACAGAAAAACAAGCCTTTTTCTCAACGGTTATGGTGGTGGGATAAGGTGAACCCGAAGGCGATTTGTTGGGCCTGTCACCTCCTCAGAAAGCTCAGGCTTCAAGTCTGGGTACAGCACATTTCTTCTGTCCCCCACTGACAGCCGGCCAGGGACTCTAGAACACTTGGGAGGGACAGGAGAGGTTACATCCTTCCTCTACCTTCAAGGATGAAAGGAAGCAGGCTTGTCAACGGTGCTTCTTCCAGGCCAATCTTACAATATTGATTATGACTTTGCCTCTCACACAAATTTCATATTTTCATGTAGTATAACATACAGTAAGTAAGAGTTCCATGGAAGGATGAATGGAAACCAAGAACCATTGGGGGAAAGAAAAAAATGGAAGGGCTGAAATAAAGTCCTCTTTTCAGTCCATGGAAGACCTATATTATAATCTGAATTATATACTGTGTGTGTGCTTTACCTTGGCAATAATTCAATGACTTCTAATATAAAACCTCTTGTAGGGACGCCTCAGTGGCTCAGTGGTTGAGTGTCTGCCTTCAGCTCAGGGCGTGATCTCAGGGTCTGGCATGAGTCCCACATCAGGCTCCCTGTAGGGAGCCTGCTTCTCCCTCTGCCTGTGTCTCTGCCTCTCTGTCTGTGTCTCTCATGAATAAATAAAGTCTTTTAAAAAAACTTGCAAATTGAAAATTTAAAGATAATACAGCAACATCCAAGATCAAACTTAGTAGTAAAAACCAGAAGAATTTCTGGAAACAGTACAGGAATACCTATGATCACTCTTACTATTCCCAATTACTCTGGACATTCTGGCCAATACAATATGAAAGAAAAGTGAAATAAAAGGCAATTGGTCATGGGAAGGGCAGAAGCGGGGCTAGAATCATGACTTTCTACAGATATCACAATATGTTTGCAAAATCCACAAGAATCTATTTAAGATCATTAGAACTAATAAGAATACCCAGTAAGGAAGCTGGTTACAAATACATCAATACCCAGGAAGAAAGCAGAATGGGGATAAGGAGATTTTATGCCAATGAATATATCACACCTAAGAATAGATTTAGCAAAATGATCCTGGACTTGTATGGGGCAGCGGAGGTTGGGGGTGGGAGGTGCTATTCCAAACATACTGAGAAACCAAAGAACTAAATAAATGGAGACCTATTAAGTTTTAAGATTACATTTTTTTCTATGACAGTATTCTCATTATTAACTGACTACTTAAAATGATATTCCAATCAAAATCTCAATGGTATTTTCTTTGATGCAAGGAAACTAATCAAATGATTTGCAAATCTTCTCGGAATAAGAGTATTATATTAATGAAGAAAATGTTTTAAAAGTACAGTAATGAGGGGGGAGTATAGGCCTGATCAGATATTATTTTGTAAAGCTGTAATAATTAAAACATCTAGGAATAGATAAAAGAAGGGTTCAAAGAAACTTGTATACATTTAAAAAGTCACTAATGTGATAATGGCGGCATCTGAGCTCAGTAGGAAATTTTCAGTAAAAGGCGATTCAGAACGGGTTAATCTCTTGAAAAAGAAAAAAAAATGAGCCCAATTTCACAATATATATCAGTATTTCTAGATTAGAAAGAACTTTATATACTCATAAATTAGTAAAGCCTAAGAGTGACAGTAAAAGCAGACATACAGAGACTGAGATACTTAACATAAAAATTATTCAATGCCCACCTGAAACTACTATAAAATGGCATGCCAATTACACTTCAAAAAAGAAAGAAAAAAAATTATTCAATCGCCTATAAAGACCTAAAGAACCATAGATAGATGGCATAAGCAGAAGCCAACCAGGCAGAAATATCTGCAACACATGACAGTTAAATAATCTATTTAATCAAGAAACGAAACACTTTAGTGGCAAAGTACATAAAAGACCCAAGCAGGCGTTTCACAAAAGAAGAAATGCAAATTGACCAATAGACATATGAGAAAGTTCAATCTAATTAGTAATCAAAGAAATGCAAATTAAAACAACAAGATACCAGTTTTTGCCTTTTAGATTGGCACAAGATCAAAAATCATGCTCGACGATGGTGCGGCTGAAAGGAACCAATCCCAGCACTGGTGGGAATGCAAAAATGCTAACTGCTGGAGAACAAGTTGGGAATATGTATCAAAAGACTTCAAAATGTTAACTGCAGCAGTATTTATAATAGCAGAAATATTTAAAGCAATGTTCATGTTCTTCAAGAGGAGAATGGTTGAATCCGTTTTCTGCAGCTCTTAAATGAGCAAGTTAGGACTCCAGGGACATTCATGGTGAGAGGTATGAAACAGTGGAATAAAGGCAAGGTACAAAGTAATCTGAGG